AGCTGGGAACAGAACCCAGGAGTCCGGCGTCTCCGCCGCAAGCCCAGCTCTGTAGAAAGCCCACATCAGACTGAGCCAGGCCCCCGTGAGGAGGGTACGAAATGATCTACTCAGTGGGGCTGCCCTGGGCCACGTCTCAGCTGGGTATTCCAGCGATGGAGTTTAATAAACAGCACATCCATCTGTCGCGTTCAGCTCTAGCACTGTCTGGCACCTGCCCCCGAGGCTGCTGCAGGCGGAGGCCAGATAGCGGGAGATTTCCACAGGGCATGTCCTGTGCAGCGAGCCCAGGGACTGGCTCTGTACAGGCCCGACTCTCCCTCTCCATCCCCCGGCCTCCACCCCACAGAACGGCCAACGCTCCTGCCACATCCCACAAGGGGATGGCAGGACGACTCTCCAGCCGTTTTGTGGGGCAAAAACGCAACGCCCAGGAGAGAGCGGGCTGGGCCGGCATCTTCGATCCATGATGGACTGAAACTCCAGCTCCTCCCGGCTACACTGGACTCGCGGCACGACTTAAGCAGGAAAATTCTTTCCATTTCATAACTACAAAGGCGAGCAGGGTTTTCGTTATTATAATTTCCCCTGGAGCACACACATCGTTCCATTGGCGAATAAATTAGCCCGGCACCTCTTCCCAACAACGCTGGGTGTCAGCAGATCCCAGCCTCTGCTAGTTACCCTGCTCTTAAATAACAGCATCGCCTCCCGACTCTTCTGCCCAATTGAACCAACTGCTCAAATTAACTACTCAGCAACTCCCCTCCCTGGCCCTGGTGCGGGCTGCAGACCCACAGAACCTGGTGATGTAACAAGCCAGACCCTCATTCACAGCCAGGCCCCGGGTCTGTGAGTGAATCTGGCCGCAGGGCCAACACCAAACGCAGCTTGTCACCTCCACCCACCTAACAGCCGCGTTCTTGCTCCGCTTAACATCAGCCTCTGGTGTGAGCACCTGGCCAGGGCCCATCGCACACTCAGGACAAGGGTAGAGTCCAGACCTCCTGCGTAGCACAGGCCAGAGAGCATCCCCCAGCAGTCCCTAGGCTGGGCCTGATCACAGCTGCTAGACGATGCCTCATCTGGATTTCAAAGGGGCAGGACCCATTGCATCTCTCTCAACCGGGAGTTCTGTGCCACCAGGGCCTCCATCTCCAGCTGTCCCTCCCGCTTCACTCTGAGATTTCAGAGTTTTGTGGGGACGTGAGGGGAGGGATTCAGCATCACTTCAACGGAAGCCACCTAACCCTTCAAATTCTGCCCCGTCGTTCTGTGCCTCCATTTCCCACCTTTAAAATGGGGATAATAATCCTTCCTTTCCACCCAACCCTTGATCTATCTTGTTATTCAGACTACAAGCTCTTCAGCGCAGGGACGGTCTCTCACTTGTTGTCTGTGCAGCGCCCAGTGTGACGGGGCCCCGATCTCGGCTGGGGTCTGGGCAGCACCCGGTGCGATGGGGCCCTGATCTCAGACAGGGTCTACGCAGCACACGGCACGATGGGGCCCTGATCTCGGCTGAGGTCTCTCACCTAAGAATACAGGAACCGTCACAGAAATCAGGAGGGAGGAAGGAGATGCAGGGTCTGTGGTGGCTGCTCCCAGGAGATTTAATCCAGCTCAGCCACAAGCTGTGGGCTGGATGCGAGTTACTGGATGGATCCCTTGGCCTGCCTCACAGTTCTTAGACTCTAGGGCCAGGAGGGCCCGCAGTGATCATCTGGTCTGCCCATGTCACACAAGCCATGGGACTGCCCCGAGGTGCCCAGAAGGGCCTGTGACGACGTGGGGCTGTTCTTCATGTGTCCTCTGAATACTGTCGGGGTGCCTCAGTTTCCCCTAGGCATTTCTTAAGTCTCCAGGGGGTGGGATAAGGCAGGGGGTGTAATGGTTGCAGAGCAAAGGGCCAGTGAACATAAACGGCCGACACTCTGTCTCCTGGCAACCGATGGCCTGGGCCCTTCCCCCCTGCAAGGTGAGAGCTAAAGGGTTGGAGAACAAAGGAATCCGGTGACCACCTGGCCCGGGAAAGGGACAAAGCCCAGGGGAGGAGGGGCTGGAGGGAGTTTCAGTTTGGGGCTGGCCGGGACATGGAGTGAAGGGCAGACGGGGTTATCTGGCTCACTGCCCCCCAAAATGGACCCAGCTGAGGAGTCCTGTTCTCTGCACCTACAAGCTCTGTGTTAGACCATGTTCCTGTCGTCTAATAAACCTCTGTTTTACTGGCTGGCTGAGAGTCACGTCTGACTGCGAAGTTGGGGGGCAGGAACCTCTGGCTTCCCCAGGACCCCGCCTGAGTGGACTCGCTGTGGGAAGCGCACGGAGGGGCAGAGGAGGCTGAATACTCTGGGGTCAGACCCAGGAAGGTGGAAGCCGGATGAGCTGTGAGTCCTGCAGACAGGCTGCTCCTGGAGAGGAGACTTCCCCAGAGTCCTGACTGGCTTCATGGGGAGCAGTTCCAGAGCATCGCCTGGGGACTCCGTGACAGAAGGACATTGTAACCCTGTGCAGAAAGGAAGGGTTGAGCATTGGAAAGTTCACCACAGCACAGTTCATCGTGCAGCTGGAGGAGGATGACCGCTCTAAGGAACAGATTCCTGACCCCAAATGGGGCTATAGCAGGATCTGGGAGCAGCTGGAGTGGGAGCCAGGCATCGCCAAGACTCCTGTCCCCAACGAGACGAGGGTCTTCACGATTGGGTTCCCCATCCGGGGATTGGAGACGGACGGGATTGGAGCTGAGTCCGAGAGAGCAAGAGGACGGTGAGAGACAGCGAGAGCCCGAGAAAGAGCTGCAGAAGCAGCAGCAGGATGAACTGGCGGTGGTGGGGCGGAGAGGCCTAGGGGACCTCCCAGGGGTGAGTGGGGATAGACCCGGGGGGCCAGTTCTGCAGGGAACCTCGAGAGTAAATTGCTGCCCCTGGTTAAGGAGGGGGGGATGTGGATGCCCACCTCACTGCCTTTGAGCAGGCTGGCGATTTGAACCAGGGGGACCCTGCGGAAAAGCCCCGATGTCTAGCTCCCTTGCTGGGTCCCAAGGCCACAGACTCCGTGTCACGGAGTCCCTGGGCGATGCTCTGGAACTGCTCCCCATGAAGTCAGTCAGGACTCTGGGGTAGTCGCCTTTCTGTGAGCAGCCTGTCTTCAGGACACACAGCTCACACAGCTTCCACCTTCCTGGGTCTGACCTCGGAGCATTCAGCATCCTCTGCCCCTCCGTGCGCTTTCCCCCAGCGAGTCCGCTCAGGCAGGACTCCTGGGGAAGCCAGAGGGTCCTGCACCCCAACTTCGCAGTCAGACGTGACTCTCAGCCAGCCAGTAAAACAGAAGGTTTATTAGATGACAGGAACATGGTCTAAAACAGAGCTTGCAGGTGCAGAGAACGGGACCCCTCAGCTGGGTCCATTCTGGGGGGCAGTGAGCCAGACAACCACGTCTGCACTTCACTCCATGTCCCAGCCAGCCCCAAACTGAAAACCCCTCCAGCCCCTCCTCCTCTGGGCTTTGTTCCTTTCCCGGGCCAGAAGGTCACCTGATTCCTTTGTTCTCCAACCCTTCAGCTCTCACCTTGCAGGGGGGAAGGGCCCAGGCCATCAGTTGCCAGGAAACAGGGTGTCGGCCATTCTCTGTGTCCAGACCCCTTCACACACCTGCCCTCTAGGGCTCTGCAATGATCATACACCCTTACTCCACCCCCTAGATACTTAAGAACTGCCTACGGGAAACTGAGGCACCCCCACACTATTCAGAGGAAACATTAAGAACAGTCCCACTTCGTCACATCTCTCCCCCCTTCGAGATCGAACTGAGCGGGGTCACTTTAGCCGGTGACCTGGGGAAGTTCGAAGCCACCAATGTTCCCATGGATGCCCCAGCATCTCTCCCGTTCCTTGGTAGGAGTTACACCAGGCCCCTCCGGTTTCACGCCCTCCCTTAGGTCAGGGGTGGTCGATAGCACTCGCAGGCCGCATGTGGGAAGGTTTATGCAGCCCATGCCCTTTGGCCACCCCAAGAATGTCTCCCCATTGACCATCACCTTCTGCTCCCACTGGAGGTCCGAGGGGCCTGGCCCCAGGAAACTCCACACCGACATATAGGTTGGGGTCAGGAGTGGGAGCTTGTCCACATCCCCAACCATCTGGCTGACGGAGTCTATGGCCTTGGGACCCAGCAAGGGAGCTAGACACCGGGGCTTTTCCGCAGGGTCCCCCTGGTTCAAATCGCCAGCCTGCTCAAAGGCAGTGAGGTGGGCATCCACCTCCCCCCCATCCTTAACCAGGGGCAGCAATTTAGTCTCGAGGTTCCCTGCGGAACTGGCACCCCGGGGTCTATCCCCACTCACCCCGGGGAGGTCCCCTAGGCCTCTCCGCTCCCCCAACGCCAGTTCATGCTGCTGCTGCTTCTGCAGCTCTTTCTCGGGCTCTCGCTGTCTCCCACGGTCCTCTTGCTCTCTCGGACTCAGCTCCAATCCCGTCCGTCTCGATCCCCCGATGGGGAACCCGATCGTGAAGACCCTCGTCTGGTCGGGGACAGGAGTCTTGGCGATGCCTGGCTCCCACTCCAGCTGCTCCCAGATCCTGCTATAGCCCCAGTTGGGGTCAGGAATCTGTTCCTTAGAGCGGTCATCCTCCTCCAGCTGCACGATTAACTCTGCTTTGGTGAACTTTCCAAAGCTCAACCCTCTCTTTTTGCACAGGGTTACAATGTCCTTCTTAAGGAGACGGTGACAGGCCGTCACTCCGCTCCTCCCAAGCTGTTGTGGACTCACAGGTCCGTGTGTTCTCAGCTCCCCACGGTTTCCAGGGAGAACCCCTAGTGTGCCAGCCCTTCTCCAGGTCACCACCTCTTTGCCAGGGTCGAGCGGCAGACTCCTCCGCCCCTGAGACTGCTCACTGCAGTCCCCAGGGGGACCCCATTACTGCACAGTCCCTCTCGCTGGTCACACACTCCCAGGGGTTAACCGCTCCCCGAAACCGCTCCTTTCTGAGCCTTCAGCAGGCCTGGTCCTCGGCAATCCCCCTTCGTGTTACTGCTCCCCAGTCACTTACTGCAGGAAGCGCCATCCACGGGGTGCAGTACATCCCACCGCTGCCACCAGTTGTCACGGAGTCCCTGGGCGATGCTCTGGAACTGCTCCCCATGAAGTCAGTCAGGACTCTGGGGTAGTCGCCTTTCTGTGAGCAGCCTGTCTTCAGGACACACAGCTCACACAGCTTCCACCTTCCTGGGTCTGACCTCGGAGCATTCAGCATCCTCTGCCCCTCCGTGCGCTTTCCCCCAGCGAGTCCGCTCAGGCAGGACTCCTGGGGAAGCCAGAGGGTCCTGCACCCCAACTTCGCAGTCAGACGTGACTCTCAGCCAGCCAGTAAAACAGAAGGTTTATTAGATGACAGGAACATGGTCTAAAACAGAGCTTGCAGGTGCAGAGAACGGGACCCCTCAGCTGGGTCCATTCTGGGGGGCAGTGAGCCAGACAACCACGTCTGCACTTCACTCCATGTCCCAGCCAGCCCCAAACTGAAAACCCCTCCAGCCCCTCCTCCTCTGGGCTTTGTTCCTTTCCCGGGCCAGAAGGTCACCTGATTCCTTTGTTCTCCAACCCTTCAGCTCTCACCTTGCAGGGGGGGAAGGGCCCAGGCCATCAGTTGCCAGGAAACAGGGTGTCGGCCATTCTCTGTGTCCAGACCCCTTCACACACCTGCCCTCTAGGGCTCTGCAATGATCATACACCCTTACTCCACCCCCTAGATACTTAAGAACTGCCTACGGGAAACTGAGGCACCCCCACACTATTCAGAGGAAACATTAAGAACAGTCCCACTTCGTCACACTCCGTCAGCCAGATGGGTGGGGAGGTGGACAGGCTCCCACTCCTGACCCCAACCTATATGTCTGTGTGGAGTTTCCTGGGGCCAGGCCCCTCGGACCCCCAGTGGGAGCGGAAGGTGACGGTCAATGGGGAGACATTCCTGGGGTGGCGAGACCCTGGGACAGGGAGAACTGTTGTCAGGCCCTGGGTGGTGCAGCCTCACCAGATGCTGGGGGGCTGTGTGACCTGGGTGAGGGTCCCAGGGATGAATCCCCTCGCCCTGCCTATGGCCCAGATCCCTGTGCAGACCCAGGAGGGGTCAGGCTGACTGGTCTTTGGGGTTCTCCAGGATATCAGCTGTGAGACCCTGTTGGGGAGTGACTTGACTGTGTCTCTTTGGGACAGGATCAAGGCCCTGCTCCTGTATCCACCGAGGGTTTGAATTTGATCCAGGGAACCAATCGGCGTAGAGGGAAATGGTCAGTGAAAATGCAGATGACCTGGCTAGCAGCAGGGAGGAGTCGCTAGGCTTAGGCTACCTGCCTGCCTGTAACCAGACCCCTGGGGCTGCGTGGGACAGAGGGATGCTCCCCGCCCCCTTTCACACCGGAGAGGGGGCTCAGGGTGCTCAGGCTGGCTCTGATGCAGTGAGGAAAGCAGCGTGCTCGCTGCCTACCCCCACTGGGACAGCAAGGGCAGTGGGGAGCAAGGGGGGAGATAAGACCCCATCTGAGTGGCGGAGGGGGCCCACAGGCAGGGCAGGTCGGCTGCCAGCCAGGTTTGCCTGATCCAGAGGCGCTGCTGGGAAGATTCCATGGCACGGCAGGGAAGGGGGCTCTGGACATAGTGGGGCTCCTCAGCAAGGCGATCCGGTTGGGGAAGAAATGCATCCTGGTGGTGATGGATTTCGCCAACCGCTACCCAGGGGTGGGGGATCTGCCCTCCGCCGAGGCAGACGCGCTGCTGACCATCTTCAGCAAAGACGGGGTCCCCTGCGAGGTCCTTACAGACCAGGGGTCAAATGTCATGTCAGCCCGGCTCTGAGGCTGGTGGGAGAAATGCGGGGTCTGGCCCACCTGGGCCCCTGCATGTCACCCTCCGTCCAATGGGCTGGTGAAGAGGATCAGAGATTGGCTGGTTCTCCAGACCAAGAAACAGGTCCAGGCCTTTAGCGGGATGGCGGGGTACGGAGCGTCCGATCCCTGAAGCCAGGAGACCGGAAAGGCCCAGAGAGATGTTACTGCGGTGACAGGCTACGCCTGACCGTACTGCAGACGCTGAGGTGAACACGGTTCTGAAACGCATCGCTGCTGCTATTCGCGCAGCAAGCTGGGCCAGGACCACAAGTCTGCTTTGCACTTTCCTCCTTTTGCCCGAGATCTCGTTCGGCAACACTTTCCACCAGCCAAGCGCTTTGCAGATATTCACCAATGAAGCCGCCCAGCCCAGGTGCGAGGGAGGTGTTAGCTCCAGTTACCTTCACCAGCGACAGCTACTAATTACTCCCTGTTTGCAGGGCGCTTGGTCACTGCGAAGAAGGGATCATGAATTAACTTCCCCACAAGAGATGCAGCAGGCAGGAGTCAGGGGCAAAGCTAGAGCCTGTCGTCTCCAGTGTGGGCAGACGTACCCACGCCCACCGCACCACCGGACTGGAATTAGCAATGGCACTGTGGTGCCGTGGGAGAGGTGAGCCACCCCAATACGTGGCACTGTGGGTTTCAGAGGGGCTCTTCCCCTGGGCAGCTGCTCCCTCCACAGCGAGTAGGCCGAGCGCCTTCTCAGCAGCCCGAGCTGGACATTACACCTCCCACTCCCTGACGAGACAGAGATTGGACATGTCCTGCCCAGGGTCATACGCATAGCCAAGACCAGAGCCCAGCAGCCCGGACTCCCCAGCCCCTGCTCTAACCACTAACCCACACTCCCCTCCCAGAGCTGGGACTAGAAGTGAGAGATCCTGCCTCTCACGCCCTTCCTCTAACCACTACACTCTCCTCCCCTTCCAGAGCCGGGAACAGAACCCAGGAGTCCGGGCTCCCAGCCCCTGCTCTAACCACTAGCGCCCACTTCCCTCCCAGAGCTGGGATAAAACCCAGGAGTCTTCGCTCCCTCCCAGTATGCCTTTGCCATTTCTCTGCTCTCTTCCCAGCAGCCCATGGCAAAGCAGCAGCAAAGGAGGGCTGGCTCCAAAGGGTGAATGCGACAGTCCTGCCTGGTGCCTAGGAGCCACGGCCCGGCCGCCACGGGCTCGGAGCTCTCTAGGTTTGGATTTTGTTCCACAGCCCCAGTGCTGCAGCCTGCGAAGGCTCCCCTCTGCCCACTCACTGGGATGCCTGGCACTGGGCAGCTCTCCGCAGAGAATCCCGCCAGCCCTTTAGCCACGCTGGAAGGGTTGGGAGGGCACACGGAGTCACGGGCACTTCACAGAGTGGCAAAGAAGAATTTGAACATTAAATAGAATCCTGCCGCCAGATGCCAGGGAGCTCTGAAAACCTCAGCACCTGCACTGGGGGGCTCACGACACCTGGGTTCTATTCCTGGCTCTGACACTGCCCTGCTGGCTGACCTTGGGCGAGTCCCTTCCCTGCCCTGCGCCTCTCCCCCCTCCCACCCTCTGTCTATTCAGACTACGAGCGCTTTGGGGACCTGCTCTGGGTCGAGGCCTGGGCAGCACTGGGCCAGCAGTGACAGTGCGGGAACGCTCCCCCTACTGAGCCCCCTGTCCCACTCCCTGCACCACACTCCTCCTTGCTTGGAAGACTGAGGTTCAGCGTTGGCTTAGGGGGAAGACTGCACACCAGAGAAACGTCGGGCTTCTCCACAGAAGTGGGTGCCTGTCAGTTCAGCCAGAGATGCAGAACTAGGTGGTGCCGGGCTGCAGGGAGCAGGGGGGGGTCTCATCCTAGGCCCCTGGACTCAATGCCCAACACAGCATAGTCTGGGAGCACAGAACACGCGAAAGAGGAGTCAGGACTCCTGGGTTCTTTTCCAGCTCTGCCACCCACTCACTTGGACAAGTCACATCGCCCCATGCCTCAGTTTCCCCATCCACAAAACAGGCATAAAAACAAAGTTTGGAAAGCATTATTAACTGCTCTGATCCCTACAACTAAAAGCACTAATTAAAGTTCCTAATAATGAGCAGCCAGGCTAACAAACACAAACAGGGAATATTTGGAAGTTGGGAAATCTATTTTTGGATCCATCCCTTCTTTCTGCCCCACAAGCTCACTAATGAGGCAGTGCACATTAAAGCAGAGGACTCCATTAATCTGCAGAAAGCACAAGCCTTGTGTTTATCTCCCTCCCTGTCCCGTTCAAGGAAAAGTTGCGACTGGAAGCCCTGTTCTGTGCTGGGCACAGAGGAATCCCTGGGATTCTTAACATTCTCAACCCCTCCATTAGCGAGGGATCAGGTATTTAATAGGGCTCGAGCTGCTCTGAGAGAATCAGCGCTCCCACAAGGGGGTATGAAATTACAGGCTGAATTAATGCCTCCAGCCTTCACCTTTTCAGCCAAAAGCAAACGCCTCGGGAAGAAGAGCTCGGGCCCGTTAGGAGCTCTTTCCGAGCGTCATGCGCTGTCAGGCCTTTGCTCAGGTGCAAAGAGTGAGAGGCCACAGAAGAAGGGGGAGCCTGTCAGTTCAGCCAGAGATGCCGCCATGGTGCAATTAAGACGTCAGAGGCAAAGGGATGGAGCGGATGCCAGCACCACAGAGCTTCTTGCCTCTAACCTTCGCAACAGCCTTCCAGCCTCCAGAGCTCAACCGCTGCATCTCTAGCCACTAGACCCCACTGCCCTCCCCAAGCTGGGGAGAGAACCCAGCCGACCTGCTCTAAGCCACTAGACCCCACTGCCCTCCCCGAGCTGGGGAGAGAACCCAGGAGTTCTGTCTTTCCAGCCGCCTGCTCTAAGCTACTAGACCCCACTGCCCTCCCTGAGCTGGGGAGAGAACCCAGCTGCCCTGCTCTAAGCTACTAGACCCCACTGCCCTCCCTGAGCTGGGGAGAGAACCCAGCTGCCCTGCTCTAAGCTACTAGACCCCACTGCCCTCCCTGAGCTGGGGAGAGAACCCAGCTGCCCTGCTCTAAGCCACTAGACCCCACTGCCCTCCCCGAGCTGGGGAGAGAACCCAGGAGTCCTGTCTTCCCAGCCACCCTGCTCTAAGCCACTAGACTCCACTGCCCTTCCTGAGCTGGGGAGAGAACCCAGGAGTCCTGTTTTCCCAGCCACCCTGCTGTAACCTAGATTGTCAGGCTCAACGGGTAGTGATCAATGGCTCCATGTCTATTTGGCAGCCAGTATCAAGCGGAGTGCCCCAAGGGTCGGTCCTGGGGCCGGTTTGTTCAATATCTTCATTAATGATCTGGAGGATGGTGTGGATTGCACTCTCAGCGAGTTCACAGATGACACTAAACTGGAAGGAGAGATAGATACGCTGGAGGGTAGGGATAGGATACAGAGGGCCCTAGACAAATCGGAGGATTGGGCCAAAAGAAATCTGAGGAGGTTCAACAAGGACAAGTGCAGAGTCCTGCACTTAGGACAGAAGAATCCCATGCACCGCTACAGACTAGGGACCGAATGGCTAGGCAGCAGTTCTGCAGAAAAGGACCTAGGGGTGACAGTGGACAAGAAGCTGGATATGAGCCAGTGTGCCCTTGTTGCCAAGAAGGCCAATGGCATTTTGGGATGTATAAGTAGGGGCATTGCCAGCAGATCGAGGGACGTGATTGTTCCCCTCTATTCGACATTGGTGAGGCCTCATCTGGAGTACTGTGTCCAGTTTTGGGCCCCACACTACAAGAAGGATGTGGAAAAATTGGAGAGAGTCCAGCGGAGGGCAACAAAAATGATTAGGGGACTGGAACACATGACTTACAAGGAGAGGCTGAGGGAACCGGGGATGTTTAATTGGCAGAAGAGAAGAATGAGGAGGGATTTGATAGCTGCTTTCAACTACCTGAAGGGGGGTTCCAAAGAGGATGGCTCTAGACTGTTCTCAGTGGTAGCAGAGGACAGAATGAGGAGTAATGGTCTCAAGTTGCAGTGGGGGAGGTTTAGGTTGGATATTAGGAAAAACTTTTTCACTAGGAGGGTGGTGAAACACTGGAATGCATTACCTAGGGAGG